CATTAGGCAACTTGTCCACGGGCTTAGAAGAAAATTTGTTCGTGGCAATGGGACTATATAGCCTCCAGGCCATTTTCCACTGGAGGTGCTGCTGTATCCACCCCTCTACGTAATATAAGGACATGTTTTCAAGAACACCACATATAGAAGACTAAAATAAAAATGCCTGAAATATTGGTTATTGGTTGTAAAAGATGCTGTGTTTTTTAAATAAAGCAGAATATACATTTTATATTATTTTTATTTTCCCCCCTTAAGAGTGAATACAGATAGTGACAAGTGCTTGACTGATATGGTTAAACAAAATTTATTATTGTGAAAGATAAGTTGTCCTCTTGCTTTTGAAAAATGTAGTTGTAATCTGTTTGTAACCACAGTTGCTTTGGATGCAAAAAGTAGACACACACAAAAACTGGTTACTTTTTGCATTTGTATAGAAAGCCACAAAGGATTTGACAAGATAAGCACATTGTTGCCGAGGAGGAAACTTTTCCTTGCCTTTAAGATAATGTGTCTAAGAGTTCATGTTTTTTTATGTTGTGAAATGCTAGGCCATGTTCCAACTTTATAGCTTGTATTCCATTTGTTACATCTACCTGGATAATTATTTAGAGATATGCTACTTCCTTGCAAGTTTGTTTTGAGGAAGTGGACTAAGCATGGCCTGTAGCATATTACCCTTCAATCATTTATTTCCACCCCCATGCTAACTAAAGATACTCTGAAAGTTAGTCTGTTTCCCGGTCCTGATATCTAGCACTGCCGCTGAGCTGGTCTGTCCCAAAAAAATTTGCCTGTCAGTTAACATTTAGGAGAAAATCACGTGCATTCCCTATAATTTTCTATTTGTGTTGTCCTTTTGTTTTCATTATAGATGAAGCAATCCAGACATGTTCACTAAGGAGGCTCAGGACTGAGATTGACAGAATGTTGTGGGGACAAGGGAGAATGCTTAGTTTTAGTTAACAATCCTGGCTAGAGTAGAGAGAGAAAGTGTCTCCGTGTTTTGAGTGAGCATGATAGTGCGAGGTGGGCCATGTTTGGATATGTAAATGCTTGTGCAAGAAAATGAGATCATCGTGCTTTGGCCCATTATTCATGCAGGAAAATAGAGAGAGGGGGAATGTGCGAGTCGAGCAAACTGTTTAACATATACTTGCAGAATTGGCAGGTCTACCGTATAATATATAGGTGTAGAGATATGTCATGCACGGACTCTTGTATCATCTTAGGGATGTGTTCATTTGTTCTTAGGAAATTTCACCTTGATGCATGTTTGCCCTTATGCTTTACCCGAACATGTGGATTATGATTTTCTAACAGAATTTTATGTACCTAGTCTGAGATTAATGTATGAAATGATAAGGCAGCATCTAGAGAAGATATGCAGTCACAGAATGATATGACTTATTTTGATACATGATTATTATATGTGAGATTAAGAAACAAGTGATAAGGGTGTACCCACATCCTATGACAATAACGTGGCATAACTTGAAGAGGATTGGCAAGTTTAAGGCATAGGGGGTATAGGAACAAAGAGCTGGAATGATGTAAAAAGCAGCCCCAGAGATTTTCAAGCTTATTCCATTAACGAAGAGACAGGTCAGGATACTGTTCCCTTTTAATGGAGTAGGTTCCAGGAAGGATTTGGATTTTCAGTTGTCAGATTAGAATAGGATAGTGTATAGGATTCATGCTAAGATCAAGGTTACTTATTCTTTGTACCTTGAAGAAGTAATAAAGCAAGAGCTTTTCCCATAATCATGTGTACTCTGTACACAATATAGACACCTTTGTATATATATAGTTTGTTTGTATGTACATCATAAATATATTTATATATATATATATATATATATATATATATATATATATATTATATATATATATATATATATATATAAACATATATATAAAATGTACATTATATATAGGTCTATATATTTATTTATTTATACATTATGAGGTTATCTTTGTTGTTCGGTGGTTTGTCTCGCGCTGCAGAGAGGGGAGGATAGAGACCATTATAGCACTCCCATCTCTCAGAATCAGAAGCAAAACGTGTAATCTCACAATCGCAAGGTCCAGTGACAGCAACAGCCTTAAGGTTTGTCTTTTAAAGGAACAGCAATTAAACTCTAATAGGGTCTGATATTTTATGCTGTCATTGTAGTCGAGTTATTCTATCAGACATTTTAAAGAATTTAGTGATACTCAAAATGATCTTGTACATTTATATATAGGGTTTCAAAGAATTGGTTTATCTTAGAAAGAAAAAAATAAATTTTGTTTTTCATTAGCTTTGGGTATTAGATTGCCAATTTATTATGTAGGTATATTTCAGTTGAACTAAAAACATCAAAGGCATTGGAAGCAAGAAAGAAAGAAAAAAAAAATTGTAAGGTTTCGAACTCAAACATGTTTTCAATTATAGAAAAGTATTCCAACCTTTTATTTCCAATAGAAATTTCAAAGCTTGTGCTTTTATCTGAATCTATTGTATACACACCAGCTGTCCGTAAAGGTTATACTGGTTATGTAAAATCACATGTTATTTGTAAATATCATATCAGCGTGTATTACTCTTCTGTCTCCGTACCTCAGAATTCCACACATCCAGCAGCATGATGGAAATGCGGTTGTTTGTGTGGATTGTTGCTCACGTAGACCTAAATAACTTTATGCATGAATGGAGAAAAAAGGGTTTTGCAGTGTGAGTGCATAATGAAAATCATAGATATAAAAAGCACTTTGGCAGTTTGCAAGATTAAACTCGCTGATGCCATGTCCATTGTGATTTTTTTTTATTAATTGGGTTTGCTCATAAATGGCTCCACAAGCGCTTAGTCACCATGGAGGCAATTACTAGTCTTATCTGGCTATCCCATTTCCCATTTCCTTTTTTTTTTTTTTTTTTTTTTTTTTTTTAAGTATTGTTCATGATATGATTATCATAAAAATAACAACATCAATATTAATAGCATAAAAACATTTTTCAAACTCAAAGAAAGAGGAAATCAGGTGAGGTCACATAGACCTACTAATTAGCCCCATGTGCAAACAAAATTCACTTCTAAAAGAAAGCTACAGCGGACCATACATTTTCCTGTCAGCATAGGGTTGAGGGACAGTAAAAGGGTTTTCCTCAAGGTGAGCCCTGTAATAGATATGCCCTTCCTCTTTTTATCATCCAGTAAACTGTTTCTTAAAGTGAATAATTATACGGTAGGACTGTGCCAGATACGAAGGGAGCTGTGTGAAAGTCATGGGTTTTCTTTACTGGCAGCATATCTTATAGGAAAATATACTTTTTGTCTTTCTTCTCCTTCTTATGTTTATCATTCATTCCTTCTTTTTATTTCATGGTTACCATTCATTCCTAATATGTCCCGGCAATAAGTATTAAATGAATAAGTAAATAGATATAAAAGTGAAAAATAGATATAAAAGTGAACAATTATCTTTTTTTCTTTCTTTCTTTCTTTCTTTCTTTTTTCTCTTCTTCCTCCTTCCTTCCTTCCTTCCTTTCAATGAAGCTCAAAGGAGCTACTCGCACCGCTCTATGAACAAGTGAATTATATAATGGGAGTTTTTGTTTGCTTGTTCGTGACTTCTTGAGCAGGGATTTCCCACGGGATTCCCCTTGCTCAACATAATATAGCTTGACAATCCACAGCCTTTTAATTGTGGGTATTAGTTTCTTGACATTCATGCCCAGTGAATATGCAAGTAGCCAGGACAGACAGACTTCCCTTTTTTTTCCCATGTTGTTCTTTGCTGTTTTTTTTTTTTTTTTTTTTTGTAGACCAGTTTTCTTTGTTTTTGTTTTTCTTTTGTGTGTGTGTTCCTTTTCTTTTCTTTCTTTCTTTCTTTTTCTGTTTTTTTTTTTTTTTTTTTCTTTTCTTTCTTTCTTTTTTCATTTCTTTTCGTTTATTGTCTTTTCTCTCTTCTCTTTCCTCTTCTCCTTTTCCTTCCCTTCTCTTCTCTTTCTTTCTTTTCTCCCATTGCAACCCATGTTGGTTTCATATATAACTCAAGGGTCTAATGAACTTTGTTTGATGGATAGTTTTTTTGTTACTCACTTCTGAGTCTCAGATGAAGGGAAGACACTAGAGCATATATGTTTGTGTACATAAACACATGCAATATGTGTGTGTGTGTGTGTGTGTGTGTGTGTGTGTGTGTGTGCTCGTATGTATGTGTGTGTGTGTGTGTGCGTGTGCACGTGAGTACACTTTCGTTCAGTGAGGAGTGTTCAGTGTTTTACATGAAATATAATGCGAAAGCGTCAGGTAACCTTTTATTGTCAAGAGATATATTTCTCATAATCAGTACTAATACTTGAAAATTCCTGAAAGATAACTAATCTATCATGGATCAGTCGAAGCAATAGATCAGATTTTTGTACTGTTTTATCACCGTTTGTACTAGGGGGACGGATTGTTTGGCACTTGCCGTTTTGCAAATTGTGATTATGGTACTGGATGAAGATCTTTATCATTATTTATGTTTAATTCCATGCTGTAGTACTAGGTATCTGATACTAATGTTGTTGTTGTTGTTGTTGTTGCGCTCACAGATTATACTGATGTGTTTCATCTTAAAGAAAATATGGTTTAAAGAGTTTACATATGCTGTTTGGTTGTCATTGGATAATATTTGTTTGTATGTGGGTAAGGATGCTCATAGATGCTGTGGATTTAGAAAATAAAAATGATTTTAGTACAAGTGAAAAGGGTATCCTGGGAACTTCCGATTTTCTTGTGTATGATTCAATAAATTTTCTTGTTTCGTGAAGATGCAGTGTGAAGTTCAACCAAACATTTAAGTTTGAAGTAAAATACAGCTCTTGTTTTCATCATTTACTCAAATTTATCTTTACTTAAGAATTTATTACATCAAATTACATGTTTTAAGTTATATACTATTGTACTTTTATTTTTCTTTCTTTCCTTGGATAATCGTCTAACCCCTTTGTCTCTCTCTCCGTCTTCCAGCTCCACGCATTAAGCAGGAGCGGCTGGATGAGCGGGAGATCAACCAGCTTGCTCAGGAGATGGTAGAGAAGAACAAGCAGAAGATGATCTCCCAGGCAGCGCAGATTGCCCAGCAGAACCAGGCCTCTCAGCAGGTACAGAGTGTTCGCAAATCTGTAGCGAATTGGGTTTATGTTCGTTGTACTTTTTCTGTTTGTTGTTTGTGCTTATTCTACAAGGAGTTAATTGCTAATCCTATCTCACCTGCATACCCTTTTCTTTGGTTTATTGGAAATATTTTCTTCTGTATTGCTTTTCTTATTGTCAGTAACAGTTATTATTTTATTGTCAATATTAGTGAAAACAGCATTAATATCAATAACATAAAAAGGGGAGGAGGGGTAATCAGGTGAGGTCAGAGAGACTAGTCATTTACTCCTTAGTGGTTGAACACCTGTGGAGCCATCTGTGTAAATGCATTAAACAAAACAGTACTACAGGGAACATCATGTTTTCACGGCTGCTTTCAGACCTTAATGTATGTGAATATGTATGCACGCACGCACACAGATACGCACACACACACACACACACACACACACACACACACACACACATACATACATACATACATACATACATACATACATACACACACACACACACACACACACACACACACACACACACACACACAACACACACACACAACACACACACACACACACACACACACACACATATACACACACAACATTTTGATATATCATGTCTTTGACATTTCTGAATAAAATTATAGTGGTTAAGACTATTTAATTCAATATAGGTATGTTTAGATTAAATTGATTATTGTCTTGTTGTTAATACCTTTTTCTTCTTCTTTTCTTGTCCCATAATCTTATACTGCAGTCTTTATTTTCTTTCTTTCTTTTTTTCTTTCTCTGCATCATCCAGATAAATTCACATCCACTGACCCCACCTTGTATTTGCAGGCTCTTCAGCGTGCTGGTGGTCAGCAGATGATCACCTTCTACTTCAACCGCGACAAGAGCAGCATTACGGCAAAGGAAGACTCTCTTGTCCCCAACAAAGTAGAGGAGAAGAAGAAAGGGACCATTGATGAGGAGAGCCAGAGAGGGCGCTTTGGCTGGTCCACAATCCACAATGCCCATATCCCATACTTGTTCCGGCGTGAGGACAAGTACTGTGCCGTGAGGATGGTGGAGACGAAGCTACTAAACAAGTACCTCAACTTCCTCCCGCACGAGATCACCACGTGCATCCACGTGAGAAGTTATTTCATCACAGAGGGAGAGGCCAAGTTACTGAACGAGATCAACATGAAACATTGCGAGTTTCAATTCGGACGGGACCTCTTCACGACCAAAGATTTAGTAGTGAGACTGCATGATGCACGGTGCTTTTACAAGTTCCTAGATACATGCTTTAAAAAGCTGGTACAAAAGTCGCCCGAGCAGAGTGAACACTGTGGATTTGTTAGAATTAATGGTGAGAGTGTTGTGCCGTATACAGTGAAAGATAAACAGAAATATGTACCTCTGTTTTATTTTGAAGGTGAAACTGACACATTGAAATTGAAAGCAGAAAAGATAGATAACTGGGAACTTGCTTATCTGAAATTTTGTTGTAAAGTTCAGGGTATCAGAAACGAGTTGTTTGCAAGTGATACTTGTGCAGTGGTTAGTCTTGAGGATGTGCAACAGTATTTCCCCAAAGACACGCTCTTTGAAGACTGGTGGCCGCAGAAAACTGCAGAACCAATGAAAGTGAATAGTCCCGGCACAAAACTAGGTGGAATCTGGACACAGAGACCTCCAGTAGGCTCTCCCAGTGCCCCTCAACAGAGCCATCTAGCCTCCTCATCAACTACGTTAACGCCTATAGCAAGCAAACCTCCGTCAATGCCTATTGCCACCACCGCCAGCCACATCACCCCAGCGGCAGCGGCGGCGGCGGCAGTGTCAGCAGCAGCTGGCAGCCCATCAAATTCCCTGACCTCTCTGACCAATTCTCTGAACTCATTCTACTCTTGGGCCAACCTGGTGAATGGCCAGGCAGTGGCTGCAGCAGCAGCAGCCTCTGCCTACACGGGCACTCCCAACATGCAAGCCCTTCTGTCTGGTCTCACTATGGAGCAGATGAGACGGTTACAGCCTCAAGTCTCACTGCCAGCCACCACACCGCTAATTCCCACAATATCTGTAAGTAGACTCTAATTTGTTTTTTTGTACTTACATACACACTAATTAATAGTTTAATTCATCCAACATATATGCAATGAATGATTATTTACTGCTTCCTATTTGCAGTGTCAGTAAAGGGCAGTGTCATCAATTGACATTCATGTATTGAATTGGATAAATGAAAATGGATATGGTGGAAAAGTTGATAATTTTGCAAGGGAGTCTTCATCATATATCGTTGAAGAATACTGTGAAATCAAAACACGTTATTGATTCACTTTCTTACCTCTTTTCAAGAATCATTATAGTAAAATCTAACCATCATGTAACTGTAAGAGAATTGATGGTTAATTTATCAACCTTTAAGGTGAAGAGAAAGATCTGATTATTCTGATGATTGATATGTCCCACTAACCATTATATAACTCCTTTCATTTGTTATGACAAGTATTCCAACAAAAGCTTGTGTGTTTAGCACTGTAACTAAATCCCATTTTGCTAATGTTCTATTTTCTCTTTCTCTTTGTCCCTCCAATGACGTTTGTCATCCTTACTTCATTAGGATCAAAAAAGGCTTACCCTCTCAACAAAGTTAATGAAAGACAGTCTTTGGTGGCAGTTAGATAATGTCATGATGGCAGGGTGGAAACGGGCAGTACATGGAGAGAACATAAGAGGATGAGTGACATTTTACTGAAGTACTCATTATAAATCTATAGGATTTTTTTTTTTTTGCAGAATATTACAAGCCATGTGTAGTTTTTAGAAAATAAGCTCATTTGCTATACAAGGAGTTACCTTGAATATCTTTTGTTATATTCTAGTAGCCTAACTTCTTCCATTTTGTTTGTTCATATTTTTGGAGCACATTGCAGCAACAAATACACAATCACTATATCCATATACATGTATTCTGTTAGAACCGGAGGCTGAATATTTCAGCATACTGTTGTTGTATAATTATTTTCAGTCATTATGGTACTGCTTCAGGAATATTATGGAAACAAACATAAACAGGTCTGAAAAGATACTGAATGATATGGGCTTCAAATTAGATCTGAAATATATGATTTATACATTGAATGTTATTTATATATGTATGCCAGTGATATATCTCTTAAATGACACCAGATTCTATATATTTCATCATAACATTGGTAGCCTACTGTCATTGGACTTGAGATCAGGCTTTTAGCATGGATATCCATGCTGTATTGCTACACCCAAGGAAAGTGCATACATTATCAGAGAGGTGTTAGTGATGAGATGCTTCTGTGATTGTTTTAAAAGTAAACAGTAGCAGCTGCAAATTTCTCCACTTTGACAAAATTAGATGTCAGACATTTACCAGACTGATAAAACACAAGAAGATTATACAGTAAGAACATACCTGTAAGAGTGTACTTGTTGTTCTTGGCATTTTTAGTACCCATTGACAGGTTACAGTATAGGCCTGCCACCAACACACAGCTACTAAGACATTGCTGAAAATGTTTTGTGTGCTCTCGGTAACCAAAGATCTGCGAAGTAGATGCCAGATAGAGGAAGCCAAGCACCGTACTGTGATTCATTCAACTCAGTTTTGCCTGTGTTGTCATTTTACAATGTCTTCTTGGGACCTTCACCGATGAATAAAAGTGGAGTACACTGTGAGGGATGCCAAGAGCCATTAACAGTAGTGGAAAGATGGGCATCATTCTCAGACAGAAGGCATAAATACATGTCTCCCCCATAGACACTGTAAAGTGTATTGGGGGAGGATTGTGACGTGGAAAATCTTCTTAGTTTTCTATGGGAGACTGATATTTTAAGCAGAATTTAACTGTGCTTGATATTTAGGCAGTGATTTTGTATTTTTGAAACATGATATTTATGCTTTGCTTTTTAACACAATACTTATTGTTATTTATTTTTACTTACAAGGGACATTATTTATGGATATGTTTTTAAACATTTCGATTATCTTAACTTTTTAATCCCACAAGATTCATAGAAAGTATTGTAGCAATAGTTACATATGGGATAGAGATAGAGAGCACATGATTTAATAATTAGGTCAAATGGTAATGAACTGCTTTTGTTAAGACAAACAAAGAACACTTGATGTACCAATAGAAAGTATGTGATCATGCATTATTGCAAATGATTAAAGGTTTCAGATGTACAAGGTGCCTTGATATATTGGTTATTATGATACCAATAGTTTCTGTTTTTTAGATATTGTTTGTCTGGGAGGGAGGAGTTTCCAAAGTTGTGGTATATAATTGATTTCTGAAGAATAGGCATTTTTGTAATAGAGAGAATGAACAAATGAACAACCTGATTGTTGGAAAGAGGAAGGATTTAATGTTTGGCCGTGTTCAAGTGAATTTGTTTATGGTTTCAGTGTTAGTAAGTATTATAATAATTATGACAATAATAATTGGAATAAGGATAACCTAAAAAATCAACATTATTAGCCTCCCAAAAATCCCTTTACATATAATGAAGGAGTACTCTCTTCCACGTTTTTTTGTCACTCAATTAATAGTCCATTCATTTTTCTAATGACTTAATACTAAATGTTGTCATTTCAACTTCAGAATGATCACATTAATATTCTAGTTACTGCTTACAACAGCTATATATACTAATGTTGATTTCTGCTTTGCTATTATTATTATTGTTATTATTGATATTGTTATGTTTATTACTATTATTATTGTTGTTATTAACCCTTTTGGTATGGATGATGTAACCATCACATCATAAAGAAAATTTGGCTTTTGGGGTGGGCGATGTGAACATGCCGTCGTGGGGAAAATCTGGCTACAGGCCTAAATGACACAAACTTGAAAATGTGAGCTTTTTGGCTGAAGACTGGGGTAACGGAAAAGATTCACCACTAGTGCAGAAACCTCTTAAAGGGTTATTAGACTCATTTGGTGCTTAGATGAGGGCTTTTGCATTGTTCTCAGTGATAAATGAGTGGTGAATGTAGTGTTGAGGATCCATGATTGGAAGAGTGTTGGCCCCAGGGAGGACGCCATTTTCGTGCTCAGCATCCTCTTCCTGGCCGCCATGACCGGCAGTGCAGGATGTATTACAGAAAATTGAGTAATAAAAAAAAAATGCAAATAACAAAATGTTACATATTTCTTTTTACTTGCACTGAGTTGTGTCCTATTACCATCTGGATATAAGGCAAATCAGATGAAAAATATAGACATTGAAAAAAAAAGGAAAGAAAAAAAGAAAAGAAAATGCATATGCATAAAAAGAGAGAGTAACAGTGCAGTCTTACTAGCCGCACACCGGTCATAGTGGCCACTTACATAAGCCTAATGGCCATGTTTTTGGCCATGTGAATCATGGGATCCAAGGGGTTAATCTGTTGTTGATTTCCAGTCCAAAGAGTAAAAAAAAAAGAAAAAAACAATCTTATCCTTATCAGTCAGTAATTACAAGTCAGCAATTCATAGATTAAAAGGAAAAAAGGTAATCAAAGAAAAACAAGAAGTCATTATATTTGTTCATATAGGCATCGTTTTTATCACCTTTTTACTTCAAATTATTAGTTTTTTGAGATAATGGTAGGTCAAAAGTGGTCACTCTTAATGGTGGCCCTACACAGTTCATTAATTTTTTGTAACATGCATAGAAATCAGGAAGGAAATAGTGTTTACATGTGCACTTCCGAGAAGAAGTGTGTCTTTAAGTTACTGGGGCTGGTTTGACGCAGGAGGTTGTCACTGCTGAGCCAGAACTTGGTTGTTTGACTGATATTTATTGCTACGAGCCAGATCAATGGCTGGGAAGTACCTTGCATCTAGGGAGAACATGGGGACATTTTTACACACAGGATTTGAGGTCTTGTTTGTTTGTTTATTTGTTTGTTTATTCATTTATTTTCCTGTAGATCTAATATGAAGGCTGAGTGTCATGGATATAATTTTCTCTTGTGTTCTCTTCATCTTGTTAATTTGTTGTATTGATGTCCATGCTGGTATCAATAATGATGATGATATTGATATGAGAGGTGAATAAATATATAACTTTTCTGACATTAAATCTCGACCTATGATTTGTCTTGGTTACTCTTCATACTTTATAGTTGTGGTGTCTTTGCTGTGAAGGTTTCTTTGTGCTGTTGTGAATACTTGTACTTTTTTAAACAGTGTAAGCTATTATATTGCATCATGGGCAATGATTTCATGTTTGGCTATGCAAGTAGGGAAAAATTGCAGAATTGTAGGGAGGAAAAGGAGGAGAGGATAAAGATATGGAAAGAGAGAGGAGGGGAGGAGAGGGGAGGGCAGGGCAGGGTATGGGATTGAAAGTCTAACATGAAAGTGAATCAGAAGAACTCTGTTTTTATCATATTAAAAAGTCATTAGAATGTGATTAAGGTTAATGAAATAGGATGCCAATAGAATGAACTGTTCTCTGCCCATTGTATGCCAATTAACTTTAGAGGAATGAATAAAAGGATAAGTATGAAGTAATTTATTTTGTTTTAGGATATATTTTATCTCGGACAGTAAACTTTCATGCGAGTCAGTTATAGTATGTTACTATGTAGAGGATTTTTTATATATTGTTTGTGAATTGCTTGATAAATGGATACCATTTATCATCTCAAAATGGTTTGTGATTGAAAGTCTCAATTCTATCCTGGCTTTTATATGTGTTTATATAACATGTTGGAGAATATTTGCATGCAATTGTATTGATTTCTTTATATGAATATTATTATATTTTTAAGAGTATGACTGAGTACGTTGGACATTGTTATGAAAGAACAGTAGTAGATATTTGTCTTTCGTGCAGTTTCATGTTTTCTAGTATTTGGCATATGTCTATTTTAAAAGAAAAGAAAAAAGAAAGAAAATGCCTGATTTGTATCTGACATAACATGCATATGATATACACAATGTGATTTTGTGGTTGTGAAAGATGTTTAAAGGTTGATGAAATGAGGATTATTGTAAAAAGAAAAATTGTTCCATATCTTATTTCCCAGAAAATGGTATTAAATC